GGAAAAAATAAAAACCCCCCCCCCAGATCACGCTGCCACTGCTCCGACAAGAAAACCATGTCTGGAGTGTGACCACTGTCCCGAGTCGGGCCATCGATGACCTGGGATAGGCCCAGGGCATTTTATTATTATTTTTTTTATAATAATATAAAATTATTATATTTTATTCTTATTTTTTAACTAAAAATGTCTCCAAGTAGAATTGCTGGAATTTGTTAGTGTTATGCTATTTCCCTTTCCCAAACCACTTTTATCTGTGTGCTTACTAAGGAAAAATAACATATTTGATAACAAATCTGACAGAATACAGCCAAATACTGTTTGTCCCTTTAAAGACAGGACTGCAGAGGTAATTTTTTAAAAAACAAATTCCCATCCTACTTGTTGAGGGCTTCCTCTCATGTCTGATTATATTTTAGGTGTTATTCTTAGCTTATACGTATAAGTACTGTAACTGAAAGCCAGTTTCATAACATGTCATCTTTAGCTTGAACCTAACTGCAACCATTGGAACTTTTGTAAACATTTTTAACTATCTGATTAACATTTATTTTCCACTTCATTTGTCATGTTCTTTTGTAATGTGAAAAACTATTGCTAAACAATAAAAACTGGGCAAAAAGCTGATTTTGCCAACAACAGGCCAGTGTTTCTCAACCTTGGCAGCTTGAAGAAGTGTAGATTCCAACTCCCAGAATTCTGGAAGTTGAAGTCTACACATCTTCAAGTTGCCAACGTTGAGAAACACTGCAATAGACGGTCACTTGCCTACCGTAGAACTTACATTGCCACATTATTCCTTTGGAGCAATTTCTCCTCGCTCTGTAGGCCCCAACAGGAGTATGACATTTTTGGCTTCTTCTGGTCTGGTGTGGCTGGAAGTGAATCTAAATCCACGAAGCGCCAGCAGTGTTTTGGTTGTAAGAGCTACCATTCATTCAGCTTGTTCCGTGGAATCGGGTCTAAAAATAACTATCACTTAGTTAGCATTTCATCAGGGCTTGCACTCGGGAGCCATGTCAAGGGTGACCGAATGCCAATAATAACATTGCTGGTGTAAGAAGAAAAATATACTTAGAAAAATCTGAACTTTATTACAGATATTATGCCGAAAATACGTACTCAAGGACATGAGGTTTTGCATTTACATCTGTACAAAAACAAAATAGATAGAAAACATATGGCCTGCTCTACTAGATATGCAACATTTTACAAAACAACATTGCTTGTTAAAAAGGTACCAGATTCCCAAGGTCTCTGGGTTCAATTACTAGCCTTGCCTTTTCTCTCCCGTTCCAGCGGTGGCCAGGGGCACTGCAACATGATTCACAAGGGAAGTCACAAGGCTGCCAAAAGACTTCTGGGCCACCATCCCACTAACCGGTAGGGCACAAGGAGAGCTGTGTTTTTTCAATAGTAACTCTTTAGCTCTTTCAGTGCTCATGGCCGTAGGATATTACAAATAACCTACAACTAGAATTAGACCTTGAAACATTTTTTTTTCCTGGAAAAAAAAAAATTAGAACTGTGGGTAGTATATGTTATCTGTCGTCTTCTGTCAGAGTCAGAACAGTTCCTTTTAAGCAAAGCATGATGACACAAAGAGCCCAGTTGCTTTGAGTAATGATGCTTGTTCAGATAGACCTGGGGGGCTGCCGGACTGTCTGTGTTCTCTCAATCCTACCCCATGTCCCTTTGCAGCCTGTCTTTGCGGGACAATTCTAGCCCTCTCCAGGGAGCCATACCTTAACCTAAAAGTACAAGGCGCAGGAACAGTGACCCAAGAAAGAACATATTATTAAGGTTCATTCTGGGCAGATGCATCCCAAATTGAATTTTTAAAAATTGGATGATGATTTCCCAAGAGCTTAGCAAATATGGGAATCTAACAGGAATCTCTCTGAAGTAGGATGTCCATAATATTATTATTTCTGGGTTGCATCACCAGGAGTTTCATTGTTACCTTCCTTGCACTGACTCTGAAGGAACTTCTAACTCAAGTAAAAGTTGCTGTCTATGCACAGCCAACATTCTCCCATGGCGAGGCAAAAATGTCCTTTGTTCCTGGATATGCCAGGTCCACACAAGAAATCTTACTGTCTGTGTACTGTAAGTTCATCTGAGTGAATTCCATCACAGGTGAAAGCATGGAAACTATTGCTTCCAACAGGGGCGTCTGCAGAGGAGGGGCGAGAAAAACAATTTGGCGGCTGCAACTGGGTAATCAAAGCCTGCCCTTCCTTACATGCTTTGATCACACAACTGCACATCTTGACTTTTTTTGACAGCCACCCCATCCCCCTGGCAAAATATTCAGGAAAGTATTCTAGAACAGGGTGATGACACCTCCCTTATTTAAGAGCAGAGCCATGAACTTGTTTTGTTAGTTTGTACTGCTGTAAGACTTCACAACCATTCTACAGAAAACTATAGTTTGTAACTTCAAACCAAGTTTCTGGTTAAAAGATATACGAAATGTAATGTACTCCAGATTAGAGATGGCCACAATGTTCAATCGAACGGTTAATGTCTTAGCACTTGATTGTGCTAGAACATGTGACACTACATGCCAGCAAGTGAAGGGGTAGAGGCCTCCAACGTTAAAAGAACATAGCCAGGTTGCCTCTTAAAATAACCTGGACAAGCCAGGTTGGTATTTCATAAAACTTACTAATTTGGTAAAACTAGACCTATGGTTTAAAACTCTGCTTCTAGGTTCAGGTCTGGCTGAAATGTTAAATAAAATGCAGCTGCACAAGGAGCCTCTTCTGAAACTACACCTCTGTGGCGCTTTCCTGATTCTGGTTTGCCCGCTGGGTATAATTTAGAAACAAATGGGATAGTCAAGGAATAGGATAGGCAGGTAACTCTTGTCTCAAGCAATCAAAGTTGGGACAAGAAATATCAAGCCAAGCATACTATTCCAGAAGAGTTATAATATTCTCTAACAAAAAGACATAATTCAGGTATGTTAAAATAAAACATAAAAGGCACCCTGTATTCCCTCTTTCTAGCTTCAGATTCTCCAGAGGGTGTTCAGATCAGGAGCTAAGAACCAAAATAACTTTGCTAGCATTTTGCTTCCATCTGCAGCTTGGGCAAGCACAATTTCTTCTCCTTCTCACCTATCCCAAACAGCTTCCCTTGACCTTCAGCTTAATTTAAAGAAAAAAAATCCTACCATCTCTTCAACAATTTCAATGAACAGAAAGAAATGAAATCTCTGCATAAATTATTAAACTATTGAGTTGTCAATTCTTAAACTTCAAAGCCTTACAGGTGAAGTTCCCCAGGAGCACAGAAACTAAAAAACTGTTCTAAAAGGCCCTCGGCTTTTGTCAGGAAGAAGAGAGAGGTTTGCAATAATACTATGCTAGAAGTGCCTGCAAGTAATGTCACTCCTGGTGATGCTCTGCAGCCCTAAGATGACCAACTAATTCTCTGGAAAACATTGTGCAGAAAATGAGCCATGAGTGATAAACCATCTCAGATCCATCCTTCAGCAATGGTGTAACAAAGCAGGAAGGGGCACCAAATTATTGTTTTGACTTGCTTAAACAGGGATGACATTCCCAAAAACCTTCACCACATTATGACATCTGCCAATATTAATCTTCAACAACTGAAAAGTAGCAGTTCAGTTCAGTTCCATCATACAAGACAATCTTTTAGTTTTTTTGGAACTAGTTATATTAGCCTGAAGCATCAGATTTCAAACACTTGGAATTTATCCATTTCAAGAGTATTCAGCAGCAGAGCAAATGTTGCTCATTCAACTTTAACACTATGGAAGTTAACTAACATTGGCACTGCTGAGATTGTAACCTTTGGGTTTATACTTTTTATGTATACATGTTAAGATGTAACCCATTTATATGACAAATGCATGTCCACACATTTGGGTAGTGGAAGTTCTCCAGGAAACTCGGATCGGCTGTTGCACAATCTTGCGAAGCAGCAAAAGAGGGAACACCCTGCAGCCTTTCACAGTGCCTCAGAAAATCACTTCAACAAGGGCCACCCAAAATGACAAACACTATTTGCAGTCAGCTACAAAAGGGGAAAAGAAATGGCGAAAATAGCAGTGCCTATTTTTAACAGAATCAGGAACGTCAACTGAGGTCCCTGCTGTGAAATCTGCCTTACTAGAAGATCCTCCTTTACTATTTTTTCTCAAGGCACAGAAATGTAACCCCTTTTCCGCCAAACTGCTGAAGGCTACGAATCACTGCATCTTCCCCAACCCTACAGTAAAATACACGCACTGCCATTTTGTCTTGTCCTGTTACTTCGGCCAACCACAGATACGACACTGGCTGGTTACAAGTCATACCCAGGAATGTTGTTCTGTTTAGTTGACACATAATGTACAAGCTGGCTTATTCTATAATCTATTTGGTCTACATCTTCCTGTTACTGAATTATTTAAGAAACATTTGTAATCGGCTTGTATTTTGTTAGCCGGCTCCACTCGCCAGTTGCATAGTTCATTTCAAAGACGGTGTCCACTAGCATGGTGGTACTTCCAGTTCCATCAGCGTTTGGCAAGACTTCTGTGTGCTCGCTTAGTTTGATCTGGATTACGTCACCCTGCTCTTGGCACGGGTTTTCTGTGGAGGAAAAAACATGTATTTCAAAATCAGATGCATCTGAGGAATTTAGTGAAACCAGAGATCCCATTTAGGACAGAAGCTATGAAGGAAACTACATTCTTCACTGATATGCATCAGCATCCTTTAACATTTATTTTCCTTCCTGCAAAAAAATGTGTTTGAGGACGGGCCTTGGAAGAAATCTCTACTCAACGAAGGCAATCCAACATTCTTAACTGATGAGTGCCCAATCTTTGCCTGAAAAACTAGGTCCATAAACATTTTTGTCTAGTAAAAATCCTAGAGAAGATGTTGACAGTTTGCGCTCTAATAGATGAGGGTCCTGACTTAAAAGACATCAAGATGCTCTATAATGTGATTTATAAAACAACAATATAAATTTTCCTATCCAGGTCTCATCTAAATGTTATAGAAAAAGACCACTAAATATTGTTTTAGGTAAAGTTATATTAACCTTATTCCAATCAATCAAGTCATTTAGCAATTTGGCAGTGTTGGGCTTCAAAGTTTAGTGACTATGGTCTAGACAACATTATTTCATAACATTTTGCCAGCAACTGTGGCTGGCATCTTTGGAGGCAAGGTGGTCTCCTCCACAGACAACTGAGCAGGAATTGACTGGGCTCCTGTCTTTATAGCCAGGAGACCTGACTTCTGATTGGTCTTTAGCCAAGGTGGTTTCCAATTGGTGCAGGCTGGTGAGGCTGGTCTCTGATTGGTTGTTTGTGCCTGATCCTGATTGGTCAGTTTGGTGGTGGTGGTTCTTGATTGGTCCTCTATTCATGCTAGAGTGCAGAGCAGCAGGAGCAGTGGAGGGGAGGGCAGTGGGGTGTAGGGCAGAGTGGAGGGTGGCAGGACGGCAGGGGTGGTGGAGTGCAGGGCAGCTAAAAGGGCAGAGATGGGGAGATAGGTGGGTGGGGGGAGTTGAAGTGGTCATGTAAGTGGTTGGGTTGCCAAGCATCCAAATTTTGAGCACGTGACTGCAGGGGCGCTGCAACAGCCATAACTTGGTGTAAGTACCATTCGTTCAGTGCTATCTTGACTTCAAACAGTCACTGAACAAGTGGTCATTAAGCGAGAACTACTTGTATTCTCCTGCTTTGGTTGTAATGGTCACTTGATCTCACTGGTGGGGTATCCATTGGCTTGTAGAGGCTAATTAAGATGTCTTAATTCCTCAGATAGTTTCTCAGGCTCGCAGGTGTGTCTGGCGCAGTCACCTAGCATTTTGATCATGCTTCTCTGGCTCCAGTTCACAAAGATGTCATCTACATACCTGAAACACGATTATGGCTTTAGGGGTGCTGTGCCCAGTGCCTGTTGCTTAAATTTTTCTATGAAGCAGTTGATGATGACTAGACTCAGGGGGCTTCCCATAGTGATTCCCTCAATTTGTTCATAAAATTCATTATTCCATTGGAAGTAGCAAGTAGTGAGACAATGGTGAAGCAGGTTGGTGATGTCCTCAAGGGAGATTTATTTGCTATGTAATAATGACTCCTTGACTGGCATATTAGTGAGCCATGGTAAACAAGAACTTGGGAAATTCCTAGAACACCTGAATGGCATCCACCCAAAGATTCAATTCACTGTGGAAAAAGCAAGTTGATTTTTTGGATGTCCTAATCACCAAAATTGAGAACCTACAGCTAGATCACAGGGTATTCCAAAAACCCACCCACATGGATCGCTACCTACACAAAGATTTCAATCATCATCCCAGCCAGAAGAGAAACTTAATCAAAATGCTAAGTGACCATGCCAGATGCATCTGCAAGCCTGAGAAACTATTTGAGGAGTTAAGACACCTTAATCAGGCTCTACAAGTCATTTTTAAGAAAATCCAGGAAATAATTCAATCAGCCAAGGACAGCAGAGACCCACTCATAGCATTTGGGGTCTATCACATCCCCTGTAGCTGTGGACAGGTATACAATGGCACCGCAAAACGCAGTTTCCACACCCAACTGTAGGGACATGAGAGGCACTGCGGACTAGGAGAGTCCAAAAAATCTTCAGTAGCGGAACATGCGCTGTACCATAATGAACATGAAATTCAATTATAGGATACACAAGTGCTGTCAACAACATCAAACCATTAAGTATGCCTGCACAGAGATGTCTGAGATCCACAAACATCCTAACAGCTTCAACAAGAAAGAAGAAAGTCTATGTCAGGCCCAGCCCAAGAACAACAAGGAGATGTCCAGCCAAGTTCAGTTCTTTTATTGCTTACACTATATAGGCAGAATCTTGCCAGACTAAATCTGTGCTACTCTAACCTAGTGGATATACCCTGGGAGATTCTAGGGAATGGCTATCCTAACTCTCTTCCTCTACCCATGCTTCTGCTTTGGACTGTGTTGTCTCTTGTCTCGCCCCCTTCCCTGGAACGTGCTCCCTCCTTCCTGAGAACCTGGTGCTCTATTACATTCCATCATAGTCTGAGGGTTAACAAAGCCTGGTTACCTGTCCTGCGCTACCCCAAGATTCTGCCCAAAAGCAGGACCAACCAGGAATCAGCCCCCCAAAATGGTCAAATTAGAAATTTGTCTGGACAAGAACTCAGACTAACCAACCAGAACCCAGCACAAATAAAGAACCGATCAGGAATCTGCACTTCGAAAATGCTGCCCAACAGATATCAGCCATGAAAGTCTATACTACTATTAACTTAGCAATCCTTTGGAGAGGAATAATAAAAAATACACACCTCTGGATCCCGCCATAAATCCAAGGATAAGAGCTTTCTCTGGCCTTGTAACTTTGTTTGCTGTTTGGAATATTTCGTGTGCTGCAAACAATTGCTCCTTCTGCAAGTGAATTTCAAGAATACATTCCATTGAAAACAACAATAGAAAAATAATTTCTGCATTATTGAAATTCTCACTTGTCTAAATAGTCAAGGGCTGCCATCTTGACTTTTTACCCCAGCCCCAGCCCTGGCACTGCCTATTTTCCTGTAAACTGGAACATTTTAGTAATTTCCATCTAACAGAAAGTAATGTGGCAACAGCCGTTTTTTCTCAATAAATCCATCAGCTGAAGGGGATGGTGGTGATTTACAATAATTGTCTTCCATGACAGAGACTCACTCCATCCATTACATCTTTTAGGGGTAATTTTAAGGAACAGAACAAAGCCTGTGAACAGGCCTATAATACATCAAATAATAATGCTATCATACATGAAAAAACAGAGGAATTATTAAGCCCTGCTGGGTCACAAATTCTGCCAGTCTGGCTAAATTAATCATCAGTATTTGTATCAGTATCGGAACCAAATCATGAAAAAAACCCTCAATAGCCACAGAGTAATATGCATACAAGCCCTGTGACATTAGCTGCCTCATTTAGTACGGACTGATTTCTCTTATCAAAAAAATGGTTAACAAATGCCTTCTTGTTTCTTACTTAATAATATCCTGGTCAGGTGTCAACTAATGCCCAGCTACGATCTGAGGATGTCTGTCTAGCTGCTTACTGTTAGAGAGAGGCCCTTCTTGGCGGGGGCATCCTGGGGAGCGGCTGGTGGTCCCTGCGTTGCCGGAGCGGTAACCGGAGGAGTCACTGGAGACTCGGTTGGTGCTGCTGCAGTAGCAGTTATATTCGAATGACTATTATACATGGGTGTCCTTTGCTTGAACTGAGTCGGGACAGCAGCCGTGGCGGCTGAAGCAGATTCTTCTTTAACTTGCAAGGGTTCCCGAATAGATCCAGCTGTTTGAAACAGGAGGAGGTCAGGACAAAGAGGCTGTGAGAGCAGAAAGGGTCATTAAGGCATACCTGTATTACATCACTAACCCTGACCTCCTCCTCCTTCTACTGAATGACCTCCACAATCTCTTAAAAAGCCTCACATATTGGTTGTTCCCTTACATTTGAATTCTTGTAGCAACCCCAGGCCAGGACTTGTTTTACACAGAATTCTAAGCCGCAAATAGCTGCGCAGAACTAAGAACAGCAGCCATCTACAGGAAATCACTGACGCATGTTCAGCCTTATATGCTAAGAGTGCAAGAAAGAATCATACTGGCCAACACCAATAGATGCGGGAGGACTGTGGCAGGAATTAAGTCTGGGAGTATATGATCGTTTCAAAACTGTGATATACTCCCAGAGAAATAAGGGAACATTCCCGTGATATTGTTGAACTGAGAAAAAGTGAAATGGCACCACAACCACCCAATTCCTATAAGATACTTTTTCCATGTCTTTTTTTTTTTTTTTTTTAAAGGAAGCTGGGTAGAATTATTGACCCAGCTTGGAACTCAGAGGTCGGTTCTTTTAGTTTCGCCAAGTTCTGCTTCTTCCTCAAATTATATTTTGACTGTTTCAGAACCTTTTGTTTTGGGACAGAATGTTGTTCAAACACAGCAACCTTCAACTGTTCACAAAGCCAAACTTTACAATCACTTTGTATATATTTACATTATCACTCTAAAATGTGCTCTTAAATCGCCTCCATCAGTCCCGTCCCAGACACTGAAGGTACAGGTGGTCACTGACCTGGCTGGGGCTCAGAACTTGGGACGTAAGAGGATGACGGCACAGCGCTGGGCGCTGCAGGCAGGTAACTTGTAGAAGCAAGCGCTGGGTCACTGTTCAGGGAAGCAAGTTTCTGCAAAAGAAACACACAGAACACTATTTGAGGCTATTTAAGAGTGGGAAAGTAGCAATTTCACTGCATCCATCCAAATTACTAAACTAATACAAGAAGTAATACTGATGACACAAGTCATTATCAAACTATTAAATTTAAATCCCATTTAAACCAATATAAAGAAAAACACCATCCAGCAAAAACTAGATTAAAAACAGCAAAAACCTAAAAAGAAAGGAAAAAGAGAAAGAAAAGGAAAGGAAAGAAAAATTAAAATATTTTAGTAATATTTCTTAGCTTTGGTAATAATGAATTGTTGGCTTAGCCTCTGAAAAACCTTTGCTGGTGCAGATGCAGTTTTGGGAGTTTCAGAGGCTGATAAAATGTCAAGGTCAAACAAGAAAAATAACAGATGTTTTACTGAAATATATTGCAATCTTGGGCTATTTTTAGTGAGTTATATTATTTTTGTAGTTTTTCAAAACAAGTTTTAAAACTGATTAATTATCCTGTATTTCAGCCCATGATTTCCCTCCACACAAAACTCTTCCTGCCATTTCAAAATAAGCATTTTTGCAAAGTATCAATTTCCCCTGAGATTTCAAGTCAATTTTTAATTTTTCCTAGTAAGAGCCAAATATGTCAAGCTGCCTTAAGTGCTGGGAACACCATAAAGATCCTCCTAGAGTTAGAGCAAAGAACTAGCCAGGACTTTAAAGATATTAAGTAATGTGGGTGGTTCTTGCTTAGCTACCACTCGTTCAGCGACCATTTGAACCTATTTTGGAGCTCAGCAAGTGGTACTTATGACCAGCCCTCATACTTACCAGGGTCACAGCATCCCTACAGTGACATGATTGCAATCTGGGCACTTGGTGCCCAGCCCACAATTACAACAGCACAATGTTCCACAGTCACATGATCACCATTTGCGACCTTCTTTGACCGGCAGGAGGTCACAAATGGCAATGTGACATTGCGCTTAATGACATAGTGGGATTCACTTAACAACAGCAACTGGAAGTGCTGGAATTTCTGTTGCTAAGCGACATCAAGTCACATGACATCATGTGACATCATACTTTATGACCATGTCATTGAGCGAGAAAAATTCCAGTCCCAATTACCATTGTTAAGTAAGGGCTGCCTGTAACTGCTAAATTGAGCCCACAATGGAGCATATTCAGTATCATTTTCTTTCCAGTACAGTGTTGAAATTAACAAATATGACATTGGGAAACTAACCACAATTTTATTAAGGAAGCCATAGCTTACAAAGAGAAGTCCTGGATATTGTTTCTTCCATAAAAAAAACTTAATCATTTTTTAAAACATATTTAAAAGGAGTGAATACAGGTGTTACTCTCAAAATACATATCTGTTTAAAAAACATAAACATTTTGATCACATTTATTCTCCATAAACTCAGGGATATTTTATCCATCTCTTGATACCAGCTTTCACCAGAGTAATACAATTTAAGATATGTATTCTTAGTAGAAATTTCTTTTAGTAGAAACAATTATCCTCAGCTATTTAATAGTCAGCATAAAATACACTCTTAAGTTTTTCCCTTATCAGTGGGAATATTGTTATGAATTGGCATAATATTGGACTTACTCCAATTTATACCCTGAGTATTTGATCTATTGCTGTACAATTTCAACAAATATAAGCAAAGATCTTTGATGGTCGTAAAATAGACCAACATTTCATCTGCATCCTAAAACATCATATATTCATCTGCTCCAGAGAATCTCAGAATATTGCTGGATTATATGATTAAACAAGTTTCCAAGACCAAACTGAGTATTAGTGGAGATACAGGGCATCCTTGGTGCATGCCCTGTCACGTCTTAATTTCAAAGGGAATTACATATTTCCTTGTGATTTTCTGGTCACCCCTTCCCATTGAGATACCCACTCCTAAAACTAAGTATCACCAGAAAGAGTGATAATAATTCCAAAACAGGGTGGGTCAAGATTAAGCTTTTTTGCTTCTTCATTATTATAATTAGGGAAACGTGGTGGGAGCCAGCCAATAGAACTCATTTAAAAGTGGGTTCATCATCTTACAGCTCAAATCACATTTATCTTTTGTCTTCCAAATCCTTTAGAGGTTGTTAGAATTATACTACTTGACATTTTTCCACAAAAAGGCCAGAGAACTGGGTTTTAAAAAGGAAGCACTGACGTTTCAGATAGGAATCATGCCAGCAAAAGACACAAATCTTTGTACAACCTTTTCGTTTGGAAGTCACACGTTTACTCCATTATTGGGTAGTAATTTAGGAGACTTTTAAAAAAAATTCTGGGACATAACAAATGACTTTAAATTAAAATCATACCTGAGTTGACACAAGTCCCGCAGCGTAATCTGGAGTAGCATTTTCTACAACTGTTTCTTCCTTTGCTTGCTTTGCCACCACATCTGTATCTGTTGAGTGAAAAATATAGAATAATTCAGTCGTTTCATTTTTTTTTTTTTTTACTGATTGCTCAAACCCAGTAATTTGTTCTTCTAGGAAAGCCCAAGTAAAAGGCTCTATTAATAGCTTTTTCCCTATATTAACAAAAACAAGATTCAGGACATCCTGAATATTTTACATAATTGCACTGTAATATGCCATATTTTATGCATTGCATTCATCATGTGATTCTTCCTTTCCCAGGGGACATTCTTTGCACAACCCCTCCTCTCTGCTCATCTGTAACATGGGCCATGTGAGAAGCTGTTCCCCACAAGCACTCCTCAGTCCCAGTCCCTCCACTTTCTCAGAGATTTCTGCCTGCACTACTGATTAAAGACTGGCAAATAAATGAGAAGGGGTAGATCAACAAACCTAAAGTCTTCCTTCTTCTTTTGGCTTCCCGACCAGAACCAACAGTATTCAGCTCTTTGATATCTAGATACTACAAATACATAAACGAAATGTTTACTTTCTCATTTATTACACAGCATGATTTCATGTATCAATGATTTCATGAAGCAGCTTTGATGTGCATTATTTATCACCATCAGAACTGTTTCACATGTTACTAAAAATTACAAAGCATGGAGAGTTTTAGCGTGTGCATTAATGTTCCATTTTACTGTACAACATCCAAGAATGTTTTTTGTGATGTCCCTAAACCTAAAGTAACAATTGTCAGGAAAAAGCTTTTGGATCTCTTTAACAGTTTATCAGTATTACACAATGTCTCCATTTTCATTTTTTTAAAAACATTTGAGGCCAGAAATTTTTTCCCCAGTCTGCAAAGACTGCAGGACAAGTGCCATATCTGAGTGCTTATTTTTATAAAATTCACAAACTTTAACAATGCCAAAACATAGCATTTTGCTCCTGAATTTCAGCATCATCATCTTGGGGGGTGCATGAAAACCGAAAGACTGTGGTCTAACTTATAAAACGCACCAAGTTTGGGAAACCTGTTTTATAAAGTGTATTGTTCTCAAAATGATGTGGATGAAAAAAAACTGATTATTAGCAAGCAAGAACGTAGAAGTTTAAAAAAACTAGCATATGGGATTTGTTTCCTCCTATGCTAATGCTGGCAGGAACAAATTTCAGAGTTCAATTAATTGTGAAAAGAATTACAATTTTATTGTATGAAATAATTCAAATAGAGAGGTGTCCCTTAATTACTTTTAGGGATGCTTCTTTAATGATTTCTTCCATCTAGATGTAAACATTTTCGCATAGCAATCCTGAACTGTAAATATAACCATTCAGATAGACCACTAAACAATTGTGGCATACATCAGGCACAAGGTAGCTATCGTGAAATGCCCTCGTTACATCAGAATTAGATTAATGCAATGTTCTGCACTTGGAGCCATCAATGAAGGAGCTTCTAAAACGGCAACTAGCTCAGAATGCACAAGAATGTTGCGAGGTGCTTGCAGGGAGAATACTGTGCAATCAAGCAAGGTTACTGGCTTGTGTCTGAATACAACTTATGATGCTGGTGATCTGCTTCTAAACTTCAGAAGTTCCTGCTCTGGGGATGGGAACCAACCTGATCTCTTGCCAGCGGGTTTCGTCTGTTTCATTCTGCAGGCAGTACAAATTTTAGAACATGTCTACTGCTTGTGCCTATACTTTGTAATTTTTTATTAGGTATTTTTGTAACTGTTTTAAACTATGCCAATTAAATAAAACATATTAATCCTTGTATTGTGAAAATGAAAACATGCACCAAAAGACTGCTTAACACTTAAGCAGAAATTTTACTTTTTTAGTTGGCGCAATATTTTTATAGCCACTGTCACTGAAAGCGTGGCATGGATCAAAAAGCACCTCCAAACTGAACAACCAGAAACTAGAGAAGGGACTTTTCCCACAAAACTGTTAACCAGTATGATTTGGATGCTGTTAACATACCACACAGCCATCTGGGGATTTTGGTGGCATGCTATATATAGAAAGGGAAATAATTTATTGATATTATTCTTAGACAATGAGTAACAGGGAAACTGACATTATTACTAGATCTTTCCCCAGACTTTGGGTTAGGATGAGTAGAGTTCCCAGTCTGAAGAGTTACAGAATAGTTCAGCTCTGATCAACATGTTATTGTCTAGTAGGTTCTAATGGTAGCGGTGTTGTTGTTTTAAGTTGTTGGTTGATTTTTTTTTCTTATCTGAGTTTGGGGTGTAGGGTGCAGCATATAAATGCTTTAAATACATAAATAAAGATTAACAAAGTTATTAAAACCTTAACTTGGGGGGCTAATACTTAAGAAAGGATTACTTGTATAGTAATACATAATAATGAATAAATTCTTACAGTGAAGGAGGATTGATCTAAGCTGCCTTTTAACAATGATTATGACAATCATACAATCCTGCCAGGAGAAAAATAATAGGACCTCCACACAGGTACCATCCTAGAACAGGCACTCAAATTCTACTGTTGTCCAAACATAAATAAAACTTAAATGTTTCTACAGATAGGCAAAGACAGTAGATTTTTGTTCTTGGGAGTGAAGAGAGAATACATAAAGGCAAAGACACCCTTGATATCACACACAAATCCTGGTGACTACAAGGCCATAACCTTTTGGAAAGCGCTACAGAAATAGTCTGCTTTGCCTTCTCCAGGATGTTCTTGACTTCCCACTCTAGCCTTCCCCGATATTCCCTGCAGGCCTCTCATCTGAGACTTAAACAGACCTGACCTCTGATCTTCCAGCCCAGAAAAAGCCAATCACTCCTGAGGCTGAAGAAGAAAAACATGTTTTAAAAATGCATATATACCTTTACGCCTCTCTCCTTGCACAGAGGCACTCTTGAGGATGGAATGGGAGTTCTATTTCCTGCAGGGCTAAACACAATTGGAGCAGTGGGATTCCTGAAAGGAGCTTGCTTTGGTATTCCTTTGAGTGGAGCTAAAAACAAACAGAACAAGGAATAATAAAGACAAAATCCTTACAATTGGGGAATTCACTTCCAGTGAAGAATATTAAAATCTCTAAGACACTACAGATTACATGTTGTAATTCTTACATTTTTTATCCATGGGGATGGCAAAATGAGCTATCGTTTTTAAGACTAAACTAAAATATCAAAGCAGAAACCAAAGGTTGCCACAAAATGTATTTGAAGTTTAGGATGCACTTTATTGGTGTCTGAAGTTAGATCCCTTGAATGGTCATAGAACTGCATCAAATTCTTGTAGATTGCCAAGACGACCACAAGGATCACTGTGAATAAAATGCAAAATCTAACTAAAAGTCCACAGAATTTGAGCCTTCAAGAGGCTTTGGATATCAAATGTACGCGCTACCAGGAAACATCTTACTGCATAAAGAACTATGCCACGAGGAACTTCCTGATACATGGAGCCCTATCTCTTCAAATGTGCTTGCATTAATGCCAGATGAGAAGCTATCTTACAAGAACTTCAGTTCTAGGATCTTCCTGCTAGGGGTTTCTTCTTCTTGCAGTGACATCGGGTGTGAAAATACTTCCAGTTATCAACTCTTATAAGGAGAGGCCATTACAGAGGCTACAATGGCCACCATCAATCTTGTGCTGATTACCTCCTAGATTCTGCTATGGAATCCAGGTGGGGTAAATCCGTCCTAAAGGAACCATGACCAGATTTCAAATATTGGCATACAGAGTCATTATTCAAAGCTGTAAGGTTAACTTCTGCAGTTTGTTATTCACACACACACACACACAAATCTGGAAGAACAGAAACAGATGGCAAAGTACATAGGAAGCTCTTCAGCCAGTGCTTGCTAACCTTATGTCTTCTCTATATCTAAAGGTACATTAGACATCACTGTTCCAGAATGAGAATAGATCAAAGCGTGACTTCCCCAGCATCCCACTACTGGCTGCAAGTCTTCCAAATGTAGGTCCTTTGGATCTAAGCTGTGGCAACTTAAACATGACTGTTTCTCGATCTTTTCAAGTATTCTGCCCTGATTTACAGTTTTTACTGTGACCAGGTGAGCAGCTTCCAAGCTTCCTTCATGACAGTTCTGTATCTCATGTAAAACTGTTCACATAATATTCTGCAAGCGATCAGACAAAGGGTTCCTTCTTCTGACAGGTTGATATAATGAAGATGAACTAGCTCCTTGATCAAGATTCCCTTTGCTTGGCTGGTTAGCTTTGTTTACCAGTGCACAGAATGTCTTATTTCATAAGAAATTAAGACCAAAGTATTTGGCTTCCTGCAAACTTTCAATTGGAATTCAAGGAAGATGGTCTATAGGGGCCTTACATGTGACACTGTCTAATGGGTGAAGTCCAGGCAGGATCCTTTCTTCCCTAGGAGTTCAGCTATGACAAACAGGAATCTCCTTTGTCTGAGATGAACTCAAGACTTTACTAATAGCTGAGGTGTCACAGACACATTTCTTATCTATGTTAGCGTGTAAGAGAAAGAGGTGGGTCAGCATGTTTTTCTTACTATGAATCCACAATGAAAAATGATTGATAATGTTGAACAGATCAGGAAGTCATCCAGATAAGTACAGAGATGGATGTTTCTTATCCTGAAGCCATGCTGCTTAAGCTATTGGTGAATGTCCAAAATTCTGAATTTGGTGAAGTGGAAGATCCTGAACTGAATTGTTTCTTCCTGCAGGAAACATAATGTCTCATCAGTGCAGTGGGCCTCTGAGAAACAGATGGAAAAATTTCCATTCCTCAGACACTAGCAGATAATCTTGAGGATTTCAAGCAGCTGCAGTATCTGTGAATCCTTATTCTGTAAGATCTCAGGAGGTCCTGATTTTCTTCAGTACGTGAAGAACAGAGAAAGCTATTTTCTCTCTTGCCTAATCTCAACAATGTTTTGATGTGGAGGAAAAAAGGGAGAAAGCCCTATTGCAACTATCCTTGGATTCGGTGTCTGCTGAAAGGGACAGCACACCTGGAGCTGGTTCCTGAGCTGGATCAGGACTTCCTAAAGTGGACTTTATCCCAGTTGTTGCTTGTAAAAAAGGCTGCTCTCCCTTTTGCAGGCCTTAGCACTGTTTGGTGGAAGAGAAGTGCAAGACCATCCACATGCTGATCTGTTATTTTCTTTCTTGAGGGATCTTGTCTGGAAACCTATTCCTAGGATTCCTTGGGAAAGAAGGTTCTTGCAGCCATGGAGATTCGCAAGTGCATCTCTAGAGTCCTCCTGGTAGCAACAGAGTTTACCATTTGGCAGGAAGAAGGAAGAATAGCAGCCAGTATACAAGGTCCCTCTTGTCACTTCTTACTCTAGTATCATCCCGGCCCTTATGGAGATAACTGAGTGGCCGTGACTGCTATAGTAGACTGCAAGGGAAAAACACAAAGGCCCTACTCATTACCTAAGCCTTCCAAGAACCATGAGATAGCTTAGTGAGTGCTCAGTGAGGCCCTCCTGTTGCTTGGATCTGTGAAATCTTCTACAGGAAGGGCACGTTTCCCATCAAGATTGCCCTTTGTGTGAAAGGAGCTCACTTGACTGCAACAATGAGAAAATTTCCAGTCACAAAACTTTTACTTTATTGCTGCTGTGTGCTCCAACAGAGCTCATTTCTTACCACAAAGCAGGAATTTGAGCTGGCAAGTTTGGTGAGGCCCGACTTCCTCTAGAAGACATTTCTTCATAAACCCTACACACTTATTAGGCCTTCTGCATCCAAGATTAGCAACTCATAGGCAGCCTTCCATCTCTGCCCACAAAGGAAGAGATCAGCAAAAATCTATAGCCTTTGTTATATCTGGCCAGGAACATTTGGATTGCATTTTTTCTATTGCCAATTTATATATAAATGGTTATATATAAAATGAGAGAAAAATTAAAACCTACTTGTTGTATCAATTTTTTTAACCAATCCTCTTCCTTTGGCATGAAAAGGTACTCCAGCGGTCTTCTTGAGCTGATGCGCAGTTTCAGTAGCTAAAAAAGTTAAATCTATTTAGTATCCAACTAAAAAGAATTACATGATAATTTCAAAGAAAGCTCATATTGCAGCATTAAACTTAAGTCTATCCAGAAAGAGGATAATCTTAGGCACTAACTTTTTTTCACATAACAAATATTTTTTTTAAGTTCATATAAATAAGTCTATTTTCTAGGATGGCCAGATGCAAAACAGGAAAAATTTCTTTACTTAAGGAGTTCTATAAGATAAGTAAAAATTTCTATAGGTTCTATTTGTCAGTCAGGTATGAAAGAACCAAGACCTCCTCTTGTTCAAATTTCCTCTTTGGTGTCTGCAAAAAGAGAGGGAGAAAAAGCATCTCTTCTTTGCACTAGGGCTCTCTTGAAGTCCTCTGTCTTTGGCTTTCTATTCTTTTCATTCTCTTAAAATAAAGGTGCAGGAGGGAAAATCACAGTGCTGCAATTGATAGCTATCATCTCCCAAATCACTTGTGAAGATCACTAAAATTACAATTTGTGGTATGAAAGCCATGCTGTGTCATAGGTGCATTGAACAGTTATCAAATAGCTCTGACATGCCCCTTGTCAAGAACATCACACATCTTTTTCTTAGCTGTGTGTGCACAGCCATAGGTGATCTGATACTTACACTTCTGCAAGAGTTCTGCTCGAAGAGTGGCACTTTTGGGTTTCCGTTTCAATTGGAAGTGTTTTACTGGAGGTGTAAGTGGTCCAGCCAATGTGGTCAAGGCATTTTTATTTAAGTACTGGCATTCCAAAGGCAACATGACTGATGATTCACAATCACTCACTATATAAAATACAAAATTCATAAGAAATAAGTTTTCTTAAGCATAAAACCAACCAACCAACCAAGAAGTGAATGTATGGACTTTGGGAGAATTTGTCTAGAATGTAAACAAGAAGCAGATATGTTCTCCCCTTAATCCCCAAGGAACAGGACCCAAGCAGTGAGGAAGACTCTCCCCCACACTTACAAAGAACAGGTGGGTGCTGATGCATGGTGAGAGATGCAGGAAGAGTGCGGTGGGGGACCTGCGGGAAGGCCTTGGGGGTTGTTAGGAAGGAAGATGTTGGACTGACAAGTGGACAGGAGGCATCAGATTGGGATTGTTAAGTGACAGATGTTAAGTTGGTGAAAGTGGTTGGTTGGTTATGATTGGCATGGGTACTGTGTGCGTGAAGGCTATGTTCTAGGGCTACCTGCAGAATGCCCTGTATATTGTGGGCAGTGCCAACGGAATGTATAAATGGCAAGGACAGGATGGGTGGGTGGAGGAAAGGGGGCTAGAATTAGACTCCAGAGACAGGAAGGTTGGGCTCCCATCAAGATTGTGATGGGTAGGGGTGGCAAGTATGGCAGGGGGCATTGGGGAGACTATTACAGGAGAATGGGGACCTTCACATTAGTTGCCACAATCCTGGGCAACAGAATCTGCTAGTCTAGTTTGGAGTTCTAGAAAGGGCTTGTTAAAGGTCCCTTCTCCTTTCAAAGTTCATGGGGGTAGACCAAGCAACAGGCCCCCTCAGTGGTGACCCCCATTATTTGGCATTCCCTTTCTCTCCAGAGGAATAGATGGTCCCAACCCTGCTTATTTTTTACAAACAAATTGGAGCTTTTCTTATTTTTAACATATTTTCAGCCTTTAGTTTTCTTGGGTGCCTTTTTATATGCTTTAATCCTATTTATATTCTTTTTTATACTGATTTTTTTTTTTTTTTTTGCCTTATTGAGTTCTGTGAGATGAAGCAACTGGAAAGATACCTAAAATGATGGTGGCAAAAAGTCAAAAGTAGACATGACTGAGCACTGGTATGAGCTTATACTCAAGTCTAGTTAACAGCAAAATGTCAATTCTTCTCTGGGTTTATAATGGATTCCTGACCAACGGCTCTGTTCACATAGGCAAGGCCAGACTCCCACAGGCTGAGCAGATATTTTGGGGATTTCCTTGTGAATAAAGTTGCTCATAAGGAAGTAGATAGGGTGATCAGTAGTATGAGCTTCACCACTTTTGGACTAGATCCATGACCCTCCTAGCAACTTTGGGTGGTCAGGAGAAGGGTGTGAAGCTGGATTCAGGTGGTGATAATTCAGAAGATGACAACCTCTATGTGGTACAAAGTCAAATGCAACATCTTACTGCAAATGTGAATGCATAGTTATTATTTATGTGCAGTGTTTACAGATTCAAGATAAGAAAACAATTAGTACAGCAGATGCAAACATTTGGACACCCTTTCAGTTAGTACTTCATAACACCTCCTTGGGCAGAAATAACAACTTTTAATGTTTCTTATAGCCAGACTAGAGTCTTTGATTCTTGTGTGTAGAACTCTTCTAGTTCAAAAATATTCTTAGGTCTCATTGAATGCACTGAATCATTGAATGCATTGAATCATCCCCTCTATATTGAAGCCAGTGTTGACTCCTGGCGATTGAAGTTTTCTTGGCAAGCTTTTTCAGAAGTGGTTTGCCATTGCCTCCTTTTTGGGCTGAGAAGGTGTGACTGGCCCAAGGTCACCCAGCTGGCTTAGTGGCTGAGGTGGGACTAGAACTCACAGTCTCCTGGTTCCTAGCCTGGTACCTTAACCACTGCACCAAACTGGCTTTATATTAAAATTAGCACAGCTATAATATGTGCAAATACTGAACATCACGTACGTGCATTTCATTTGACATTTCTAAAGCTGTGCAATGCTACACACAGGATGTGACAGATTTCACAGAGCTAAAGTAGTATTTTTATCTCTTTCTAGTTTTCACAAAACTTGAATTGTGCCTCCTTGCACCCAAAGACCAATGTTGCTGAATCACTTATTACAAATGCCCATCCAATCACCCTGGCTGTTCTTTTCAGACACACGGAAACCTTCAGACCAGTTTTCCCCGTAAACCGGCTACAGGGAAACAAATTTGAACTTGGAAAAATGGCACTGATCCTCTTTCAACCCTCATCCCGTGCTTGCCAACTTTAAGAAGAGAACCATAACAAGCACCAAGAGAAGATGAATAATGTAAATTCAAAGAAGCATTACCTTCTCTTTAGAGAGGCATGCCAAGTGTTCACAGGACTTCTTGAATCAGACGCTGGCAACCCTTTACACCTAGACTTGTACGTGGCACCTGGCCACAATATACATACTCACCCTTGCACATCCTTTGTCTCATCAGATCCTAAACAGGATCATTGAGAGAGAGAAACATTTTCCCTTCTGCTCAAGGCTTGGGCAAGCGAAGTAAAAATCTGCACAATAAACTCCAGGCCCATGCCAAAGGGATTCATAAGGAGTGCAGATGCTCTGCTACTGGCATCCTGCCAACTGCATGCTTACTCACTTTACCATCCCAAACAGCACTCCCTGGAACCCCATCAATCAGATGCTCCGCAGGCTGCTGGAGAAGATAACTACTGAACTGGGGGAACTTGTTGTCTCAGCATGAGAGCACTCTAGTAATCCACCAAGCAACTGCCATGGAAGAGCCTACTACTGTGCTGGGAAAGCACCTTTCTCAGTAGGGGAGCATTCTCTGGAAGCCCACCCTCAGCTGCCTCCTTGATCGCAGCGCTGTAGGGAGGCAGCCTAATTCATAACGGACCGCTCAGATAGCTGGGAGCAGTACATCAGCCAGAGATCAGAGGCTGCCTTCTTCTGCTTTTGTCATTTTTTACATCGCACAAGTAGCTCTGTTAAGCAAGCCTAATGTGTTCTAAAACTCTTTGCAAATGACAAACTACTATATGTATTTTAATTATGGTTAATAATACACAGAAATTCCCTTCAAAATGAACTATTTTGTGTCAACAATAGTGTTTTAAACATTGAAGATATAGTTTGTGTGAACACGGCTCCAATGTAAGACAAGGAAAATTCAAAAGAGGGTTACCTTTTTCTCGCAGTTCTCCTAAGATATCCTGAACATTGGGGTTCTGCTCTTCCAGATCAAGGTTAAGGGAGCCAATATCTGGAAAGGATTTTAAAATATCAGCCACCATTAAGACCCAGGGGTCTGGATCCAAAGTAGCGAGCTGGATAATTTCAGTCAGTGCACCTTTCATCTAACAAGAAAGAGGGGAAAAAAATTAAGAGTGGAATGTTCAAAATAAATTAGAACTTGTTTCTGAAGCTCTATAAAATAGATTTAGCCCTTAGTCCTTAAACGTATTTATAAACATGACCATGCAGAAACCAAGGAACAGGGCTGCACAGCCGATTTCATCCCCACATTGCATTGCCAACTCTAGTATGTCCTCAGCGTCCATGCAATAAACATAGACACCTGAAAAGGAAGTCTTTTGTATAGGTATCTGCACCCAAAAAAAGCTTCTATCTGACTGAAACTCCAACAAACATTATTAATTCTAACATACATATTATGTAATATTGAAAAATAGCTCTATAATGGAGCTACAATCTATTTTCAAAGTAATTAACACATGAAGCTGCATAAAGTCAATGAAACTATTTGCACAGTGGAGTCCTCCTTGTCTGGCAGCAGTATTCCAGGGTCCTAACTAGACATGTCTTTCAACCTTGGTACCTCATCTCTGAGATCCAGGAACTGAACCTGAGAGATTTCTCAGAGTGTAATGCAAAAGCTGTGAGTTGTTCTAGAAGAGCAAATATTTGCTTAAAGAACAAACCTTATAATTTGCAGCTGCTAGAAACTACCATCTGCAAGTTTTCCAGAAGAACAGAAAAGTATTAGACTAGATATGAAACATGTGAAAACTACTACCCTGCAGTCTATCATTAGCTTCATCGAAACAATTCGTGATAAAGAAATTTAGCTTTTTATAGCTAATGTTTTTTAGCAGGTAACCAGGACAATTCATCTCACAGTGAAGCCGAAAGGATCAACTAGACTTCATCAAATCTTTACTGAGACAAATCAAGGAGATGAAGGTGACCTTAGGAGAGGCCTGTTCCTATAGAAATGTTTATTATGGTGTAGAGCAGAGTTTTTCAAACTTGGCAACTTTAAAATGTGTGGACTTCAACTCCCAAAACTGAAGTCTGGCTGGGGACTTCTGGGAGTTGAAGTCCACACATAAATCTGGACATAAATCTAATTGTCAATGAAATGTGAAATTAAAAAAAAAACAGCATTAACAAATAAGTGAAAAAATATACCAATGACAATAACATAATGAAATTTAGAAAACTTTAATTTAGCCTTACTTCTGACTTCTCAAGCTTTCCATCAAATTGCCCAGACATGAATGACAGTGGAAGCTAATAGGAAGAAACCTAGAGAGAGTTTTCAGGCCATTCTTACAGAGAAATAATAAGACTTCTAAATTTTTCTGGCTCTGAAGGAAGTTTACATCAAGACCTGTACTCATCCCTCCTCACAGCTTGGCACTGGCAAGTTTTTCCACTCAGATCAGCAGAGTAATCCACCAGAACCACAGCCCATTTTAATTCTAGCTCCCAGGGAAAGCCATCAGCCTATGTTCCAGTCAACTGTGAAGATTGCAACATGCCATGAAGATGATTTGAGAAACCTCTTTCTTCTGGCTTTTATCTAGGCTGGGGATAGACATGTAGCTATATGGGATCTGGACACAAGCCAATGCCCCCTCTATTCCTAAACCTGCCCTTTGTGCCCCATAATCCCAGGCTCCTACTGACTATACAGACAAATCCATGCAGGTTTCTTGGAAGTAGGATAGAAGTGGCTTGCCATTGCCTTCTTCGAAGATGTTTTTCAACTTCCCAGTCTAAGCTCTGAAATTCCAGATAGCAACAAGTTCAACCCTGCTTAGCTTCCACACAGAGACCTAGTTGGCCATGTCATGCCACCTACCAAACACCATTTTTACTCCCTTATTTCATTACTTATTTTGTTCCAGTGTTGACTTTATCCAATTCATATGGATAAATACATAGTCAGCATTTCTTTAATCTATCTTTTCAAACAAGTTATATTCTTTAACTCCTGTGCTCCATCATCTTCCCTTACCTCTTTCCAGTTATGTTTATCTTCTAGTACTCCAGGTTGCTTCCTTCCCAGACTCAGCACATTAGTATGCACACACACACACCCAACACACACACGAAAAGCCCCAGCTGTTTTAATTCAAGGAATCATGGATTACTTGCTAGAATCTCTTCTCACAATTTATCCTTTTTGTAGTAGTATCTCAATCCTTGTCTTTAAGTCCCTAATTTTACATTTGCTCTTTAGGCCTTTATCTCTGTTCACCAATGAAGAGCCTGGAAAGTTGCCTACTGGAGGAAGAAGCAGTTGCCCTTGTAAACTTCTGCATTTAAGACTGATTCTACCTCTCTCACACAGCTTTGGCATAAATTAAATGACTTTTTCTATCCTAAATAGTTTCACATCTACAGTAATGAAAAGGAATATAATGCTGATCCATTCTGAGTACTATTACAGAACTATATAGCATATCCTGAATGTGCTATCATCCTTCCCACCTCAAAAAAGTGATTCTTAATTTAAAATTAATTTAAAATACAGGTATTGAGGGCCAAAGTAATTCGGGATCAACACAGTCCATAATGTAAGATTCTATTTTGCTTTACAGAATGACTTTTCTTTTGTAAGATCATGGTCATGAATTCCTCCAATAAAATTATTATGAGTATATTTCTACTATATTCCCATTCCAAAATGCAAAGCCACCCCTCATTTTTATCACTCAGTCTTCTACCTTAACACTCTATTCAGCAGGCTATCTGTATTAAAGTGGGTATTCATTCCTGATATGCATTTACTCCGAGCACAGTTTGCTGTTTAACAAAGGTTATTGTTACTCATACGAGACCCCGACATTCTTTTGTCTGCTTTATCCCAGAGATGCATGAAGATACGAAGCTGAGGCATTGAGGTTAAATGTAACATTTGTGCAACATGGGTAACTGATACAACCCTACAATTAAATTTCAGCAGGCTTATTTACTGTTTAAAAACTTTACAAATAGAATATTCAAAAGATTCAGATTGTAATTATCTTCACAGAGAGAAATTTGGTGAACTGATTAATCCGAGGTTTTTCCATCTTTGTACTTACTTACCTAGCCATTTTTTGCATGGATGCTTTTTATTTATTCTTAGAATAGCCTTCCCCAAACTTTTGAATCATTTTGAAAAGCAATAAGTTGATTATTAACAACTGAGACATGCAGTTTTATCCCTATTTCAGTATGAGGTGAAAAAGGGTAACTAGTTCAGAGCATCATTCCGGGCAAAAACTTTGCTAATGGGTGTAAGTATTTTGTACGCTATTGTAGTTTATAATTAATGTCATTTATCCTTTAAACGCCTGCTTGTTGTTTTGGAATATTATTTTGCTAAGGTTTATTTTCTACATTTAACTGTATTTATAAGAAGCCCAAGATAAGAAGAGCAATGAAAGATACCCTATATTGCATTGAAATGATACTGTCATGTAAGAGATACAGGCACTGATTTAACTTCTTAGGAACAAACATTAGATACATTTTGCAACTGGAAAAATATCCAGAACATTTAACAAAGATACATCTACTTTCAAGAGAGAAAATGTCATCATTTTTTAACATTTTGTGAAATTAGCCTGCTACCACACAAAGACCAATGCATATTCTATTTACAGATTCATCCTCTAAAGACATGAGATCCAGGAAGAAAATGGTGAAAAAGGGAGGCAGGGAGAAGCTTTGAAGTAAAGGGGAAAATAAATTAACGAAGGAGATGAAAAAGCTTCCCAAACAGAGGAAGAAACGTAAGGGTCAATAAAATCAAGAAGTAGAATGAAATTTAGCAAATTAGTGTTTGATGAACAGAGAGATTAAGAAGTGGAATTGCCAAAAGACAGAGGAACAAATTCAGCAGTTCCTGCTATGTTCTTGTGATTACCATCTGTTTAGATGAGGCTTCCATTTTTTTCTTTTTGATGGCACATCATCCTGACTAGCTTTTCCCACTTTTGTTGGCAGAAGAGCCAGTGAGGTCCAGGGGAAGGAAAAGGCATGTGCACGTGCACACACACTCCCTAAGGCACTGACCTCACGCCTAAGCCTACAACAAAGGTCTTAGAACAATCTCCACTGGCACCAATGGAGAGAGCAGGGACAATTTTTCAAAGGCTCACAGCTTTGGTGAAGAAAAGGCTCCATACAAAGAGAAACTGTCATTCCATATAGCATAACTGCTATCCAAAATCCTCCGTTGATATTAGCAGAAACTACTTTAAAGCCTTGTGGAGTTAAAGAAAAACATACCCCTTTTCCAGTGTTGGAGAAACCAGACATATCAGAAAAACCTTCAACCCGAGGAGAGGTACCCCATTTATTTGGACAGGATACTGAAGATGCCTTATGTCCAGAGAGATTACATTTATGAAAATACATACAAGGTAAAAAAAAAAAAAAAAAGCCTCAGTGATCAGTTTTTGGAGAAAGCAGCAGGGTAATCTACCATGGTAATCAAAACTATCTTTTTTGAACCCAGGATGATTCAACTGCCAAGTCACAAATTAAAAAGCTACTTTTCCCACAACAACTGTAGCTGAAACAGTTTACACACTTCCTCCACTTTAACTACAAATGCAGGTGAGAATAATGTTAAAACACAAAGAAGGAAAACAAGATGAAATTGAGAATAGAGTCAATGAATATTTATTTTGCACACTCAGCAATGCTACAGAAATTAAAAGAATACAATATTTCAATTTCAGCTCTTATACCAGTCCAACATCATGTCCTAATATTTATTTATTCATTCATTCATTCATTCATTCATTCATTCATTCATTCATTCATTCAA